ACACACACACACACACACACACACACACACACACACACACACACACACACACACACACACACACACACACTGTTACTTACTTGTTCTTTCCAAAAGTCTCGAGTTGTGTCTGAAGAAATGTGTTATTTTAGTTGGGAATTATCTGGGGTGTTATATAAGCCTTTAGTATCCCTTTCCTCTCTCCCCTTTGAACTGCTGCTGCGGAAATGTTAAATGAAAGCTTTTGGTGCATGGAGTAATTTCCATAAAGGTTACATTTACAAAAACAAGACTTGCAGAAAGGCTCAATTTACAGAGAGGTAAACAGCCTTTAAAGGGCAGTTATCCAAATCATTAATTCCAGGCAATCAAACAGCTTAATTACCAGAAATTCATCAGATGGGCTTAAAGGTCAAAAAGTGATGCGCTTGCTGCTTCCTTCTTCTTCCATTGCATGCGGTCTTGTTCAGCTAAATTGCCTCGCCTGGGGTCTTACTCTTCGCCTTCTGATTAGGAAACTGTGGCCTTGATGTTCAGGCTTTTTAATTGCAACCCTAACCCAACATCCTGTACGCTTGTCTTCATGTCAGCCCCTCCTACACTCCCCCTTCTTCCCACACAGGCTCCCTTCATGGAATTACCCCATTTAAGGCTCATACTATCTGGGTTCAAATCAAATTTAAACCCCAAATTTAGACTTTTAAAGCAAATGCCAGTGGCAATTTTTTTCTACTCCATTTGAGGCATGTGCATTTATACTTCTCATGTTGGCCAATAGGGAAATAACAGTATACTTAATATAGACGTAATCATTCTAAATAATCCATAGCCTTGAAAGATATTACAGATTATCGCGATTCATTTTCAAACCAGGATTTTTCTGAAGTTTCATTGTCATTGTTGATAACTTGTAAGTTTGACTGAGCTGTTTCCTAGTCACACTGTAAAATAAATCTCTTTAAATTGATCAAAAACGTTATCGTGCTTTTAGGCATCTTGAAAAAAAGCAAAAAGGATTCAGACAACACAACTGAGAGCAAGAAATCCACCACAGAAACAACAAAGGTACGACTTTTACATGTTTCTTTATCATTACAACTATTTCATATCATGCGGGCATATTAACTTTTTTTTAAATTGCAAACAAGCAGTGTTTTATAGCAGTGAAATGAACAGGTAAAGTATTCCCTTCACCATTCAGACATTAATTGGCTGTTGGCTCATTTCCTGTTTGCCAGGCAAAGGTTCTGGAGTTCAACTGGAGGTCAGCATTCAAGGGACTAGTCCCTCACATGGAGCATTGCGTAAAGGTGGTGCTGGATAATGTCTGTGCTAAGAATCTACAACAAGAAGACGAACTGCATTCTTCTGGACATCTCTCTGTCTCCCTGAGCCTGATTACTAGACCCAGCTTCACCACTGCCAGCAACACACATCTCAGAGAAGACACATTCTCCTCCTACTCAGAGGCAGAGACTCCCAGAATGATAGCCAAGGTACTCTTGCACATAGTGTCGAGTAAACCGATGTTTAATTGTAATTTGATTTAAGTACATTTGCTTCAGGGCAGTCCTTAAGTAGCTCTAGTTATTAGTATGTAGTTATCCAATGATTCTTGTCACACAAGCCGTGCTGGAGGAATGTTTGGTTTTACTGTAGATCAAATTAGCCCACTAATACAGTGCAGGGCCTTAATCAAGCAAAAGTAGAATTTCTCCTGTGGTTACTCCTGTTGTCTTTAAGAATAATTTAAAAAAGAAAATAAAGGTGCAGACAGGCTGGAATTTAACTTCTGAATTCTCCTATTGTTAAATACCCCCATTGCTCTCATTATAGAGATAAATTCCTCTTATTAACCTTTCCTTATATCAAGTCCTTTCTATCATTCAGTACCAAATAGCACTAATTCAGAACCTTATTCTCTCTCCTTCAGTCAATTATTTTGTGTACTAAATGTGTAAAACTCAGCTGTTGTCAAACGTGCAAAAAAGGAAGACACACATGAGTCTAATGCGTAGGTTTATTCTATGAGCAATATCTGTACAAGGCCCTCATTGTCGTGCAGTCTTGTGTGCTAGTTCCTTTTGCCATACACAGTGGACTTACTGTCCTCTTCACCCAGAACAATGCAAGTCTCCAAACAATACCTAGACCCAGGGAGAATAATGTTTTTTGTTACCCTAGCAGAAAGGTCTCTGTGCAAAAGAGGGCCCGAATGATTTGGGCATGACACCTTGAAAAGTTTCCTCGGAAAAAGTCATCAGTATTACCAGAGTTCTCTAAAGACAAAAAATAAACAAACAAAAAAAAACATTTAACCACTATGTAGGTTAGATGGGATGTAGAGAAAGGTGTTGAAAGTGGAAAGTGGAGGGTATATGGTGCACTAATGATCTAGGGATGTATTATGAAGGCAAAGAGGCTTGGTTAGTGAACAGAATAAAGCAGGATAAGCAGAAGGGGTGAGAGAGGGCCTGAGAAATGGCAGGGAGAGGTGAAGCAGAAACCAGAGATTGACTTTTCTCCAAAGGTAAGGCTGGTGTCTAATGTGAGACAAGGTTTAGAATTTAACTCTCTACAAAAGGATCTCCAGTGTGGCCAGCCGCATACACACTGTCACTATGCTGTTTTTTTCCTCTTTTTTTTCACTTTCGCTTTTCTTCATTTTCTCTGCAGTTTTAAATTTTTCCGAACAACTTTTCAGGGAGTTCTACCTGAAACTTTCCCCAACTCACATTCATCTTCCTCTCAACTACCCACCACTCTCCTCTACACTGAGCACTATTCAGACTCTTATCATTACTGCCTCACCTCTCTTCCCTCCTCCCACTCTCTCCTCCCCTAACCCTTTTACACTGACAGTATTTGTGGCTCTCACTGCTAACGAGTGTCAGAATTTGTCTGTACTCAGGACCTGTGCAGCGTATTTATGTGTAGGTCAACGTTTCAAAGATGAGTCTTTCAGCCCAAAGGTTATACATGCATGCATTTGAATTCAATAACACTGAGCTAAAAAGATATTCAAGACAAATACATACGTGTGTGTGTGTGTGTGTGTGTGTGTGTGTGTGTGTGTGTGTGTGTGTGTGTGTGTGTGTGTGTGTGTGTTTGTGGGAGGGGTGGTATATGTGTTTATACACACGTACTCTATGTGTTTGCTCGAATATGCTTGAACATGCTCTAGTGTCTGAGAAGAGCAAATTTACTTTTTACAAGACAAAACCTTGAAAATTGCCGGTAGAAAGATATTATGATAGATCAATATTTCTCACATTTATATTCATTTGTTCATACCTCAGTCCTCGCTTTTTTATCTGAACCCACTTTCCACTGTCTATATTACCATAAAGATGCAGGTTGCAATGATACTGTTCATCCATCACAGTACTTGATGATGTACTTTTATTATTGGCAGATAGATGAATTACAAACAGCCTGCTTTCAACAGCTGTAACTCACCCTCCTGTCAGAACCTGGGATTGAACTCTCCTTGTTTTACTAGACCCTTCTAACCTTCATGCCAGCTTTCTATTATAGCAGCAGAAGTGCCTTTTCTGTATTCAGACTTTAGCGAAGCCCTCACCTGCGTGTTCATTTCTTCACTTGTCTGTCTACTCCACATTCTGCACACACATAAACAGGGCTCGCTAGCACTTTATAAAATCTCTTTCACCTTGCTGCAATAGTCCTGGTGGGATCACACGCTTTGATCTTAGCTAGTTAAGGTTTCAGACTGACTTCAACTGGCTTCAGTGTGTGAGTGTTTATATGTGTGCGAATACTGTATTTGTATGCTTCTTCAGGATCTTTCCATTATGCTCCTTTTTTCTCCCATCAAAGATAAGCTCCTAATGACAACATTCAGTCCTGTATTGACTTAATTGTCCAAGCGGTCATTGTTTGCCGGCCCCACTGAAAGCTTTTATCGAGAAAATTGTTTGAAGAGATTGTTAGATTGTCAGCTGCAGACACACTGTTAGCTGTAACAGAAATAGAAATGCTGAACTTCTCAGTCCTCTCCGACAGCTAGTCAAGTAATCCCGTGACTGTAGAAGCAGGTGATTCACACTATGACTGACTGATTGATTAAACTGCAACAGTCTTCTGAGTGTTATTTTCTTTCTTCAGTGTGACCTAGATAAATAGATCCAGCAGATATGGGCCTTGTGCTATGTTTTAAGGCTTCTACTGATCCACCTGACTCATAACTTAAGCATATGCATATTTTAGGTCTATACATTTGGATTCACAAATACAGCTGTGTAAGAAGTTTTCACAGTAATGTAAAAAAATTGACATTTGATTAATTTATCAACAGCATAAAAGCAGAAGTTTTGCTGGTTTGATTCGTACAATGCCAAGAAGGAAAGATATCGACAATGATGTTAGAGAAGCAGTTCTTTCTGCCCATCAATCTGGGAAGGGTTATAAGGTCATTTCCAAACAATTTGAAGCCAATCATTCTGCAGCGAGAAAAACTATTCACAAGTGGAAAACATTCAAGACAGTTGCCAGGATCTTTCCAGGTGTGGAACTCTCAGCAAATTCACCCCAAGGTCAGACTGTGCAATGCTCAGAGAAACTGCAAAAAAATCCCAAGAGCTACATCTCATGTTAAATGTTAAAGTTCAAGAAAGTACACTAAGAAGAAAACTGAGTTTTTCTTGTTTGGAAGCGCTACCGGGAGAAAGAATCTTTTCTCTGAAAAGAAGTGGTGCCACATCTTAAGTCAAATGCAAAGTTGCATTTGAACAAACCTCAGCACTCCTGGAACAATGATAGACAAGACCAAGATGATTGACCATAATGCACAGTACCACATTTAGTATAAACTATGTACAGAATATGAGCACAAACTTCTTGTACCATGTGTCATACATAATGGTGGAGGTGTAATATCTTGGGCTTGTTTTGCAGCCACAGGACCTGGACACAATGTAATCATTGGTATACATAGGACTTCATGGTCAACTCAAAATTTTCTAGAGTCAAATGTGAGGCCATCTGTCCAACCAATAAAGCTTGGCCGAATTTGGGTCATGCATCAGGACAATGATCCTAAGCCCAGCCGCAAATCTCCAACAGAAAAAGAAACTATCAGTGCGTTGCAATGGCCCCAATGAAAGATCAGAACTCAACCTGATTGAAATGCTGTGGTGCGTCTTTATTGGGCCAAGCTTCTTTCCTGTCTGACTTCCACCTCCTCCAGTGTGTTGTAAAATTTGTATTAGATTGTGACTACGGTGATTAACAATGTTATAAAATATGACTGATGTTTTTTTGTTTGACCTAATGCTGTGAATTTTTAACAGCAAAGTTGATGCCGAGTGCATGTCCTCAGATATTTGTATTCATCGTTTGCACTTGTCACTGTTTTCAGTAGTAGGCAAACACAAGATAAATGCCTGTGTAATACTCAGCTCAGTCTTGAATCCTTGTCATTCTGATCACTTCTCACAAATGTTCCATTATTTACATTTAATGAGGTCTCTTTTTACTGTTTTTTTGTTTTTGTTTGTTTGTTTCCTCTTACTGACAGATTTTCCCTCTGTTACTGAAATCATCTTGCCTCATGTTTGCGATCTCTCTCCCCCCTCAGTTTTGCGGAGCAGTCATGTCTGAAATGGATGCCTTACTACCACTGGCAGCAGCCTGCAACGAGAGCTCTCTTCTGCAGGTGCGATCAAGCTTTATAGAGTCATGTGGCAGAGCAGCATTTGCCATGTTGGGTCGTTTGGAGGAGAGGGCCCTGGAGGTACCATCCTCTGCTCCCCTGAAGAACTTGCATGCTCTACTGGCCACTTGCATTTATGTGCACCAGCGACTAGAGCACTACAGTGCCAGGCTGAAGGATTCCAGTACTGCTGCAGCTAAAATGTAAGTAGTGTGTTTCCAGATGTTTATGGACATTTACAGTTATTTTGTTTAAACTTCACACAGCTGAATTATTTATTTGCCTTGCTCCCATGCTTTGTCTTTTTCCCAACTTTTTTAGACCTGGTGACTGCCACGGCCAGTGACAATATGTCTCCTGGTTGCCATTTAATTCCTGTTCTCATGAATGCTATATCTGTGGAATGCTTTAAGGGCTTTTATTTTAATTTGGCACAGACAATTACTTGGGCTAAAGGAAGAGCTGATAAGAGTTTGTTGGTCAAAGGTCGCTTGCAACTTCAAATCTGTACCATTTTTATGATTTCTAGACCTTTAGGAAATTTGACAATATCTGGCACAAACACTCACTTGGACTCAAGGCTGAACTCATTAGAATATGTTGGTCAAAGGTCAAGAGTCAAGGTCACTGTAAACTCACAAAACATGCTAATTATGACTTTCACATGAAATTTCACACATTGGTCTAACAGGATAAACTGATGAAATGATGGCCTTTTGCATTTAAAAGGTCAAATGTCAGCTTAACTGTGGCACCGTAATGTTCCACAAAAAGACTTTACTAGTCATTATTCAACTGCATAACTCAGGAACACATGGGGAGAATGTGATTATATTTTACTTCTGATTTGATCCTAAACTTGTCACAGTTATCTTTGGTGATTCCTTAGTGGATTGCTTAAAAACTAAACAAACGGAAACTTCACTTATAGACACAGTCAATGCTTTACTGTGGCAAAGTAATTCTAAAACGACTCTCAAAATATCCAGTGTTGATTCTAGAAACCTATGGGCCCTAGGCCCACCCAACCAAGTGTTCATCACCATTATATTAAAGGAAGTATATTTATACACTAACACATTAATAATGTCATTTTCATAGCTTTCATGTTACAAAATTAGCATTACTCAAATTCAACTTTTGAATGTTGTTCTTGGACGTACACATTACATTTGATAGCCTTGACTGTCTACTCACATTTTTACATAATGAAAATATGCCTTTTTCATTTTCAGAAAACCATTAAACCTACATAACAGATTTGGAAACTACAACAAAATGCACACACCACACTGCACATACATTCAATTATATTGGTGTAATTATTGTGCTATAGACTGATCTACCGAGGGAAATAAATATCACCTGCATGACCCATCTTAAGTATTCGGGCTGAGGTGCTTGTGTGAGATTTAATGGTACATGGCCCTGTCCATTGGCCTCTCAGTGCGGTGAAGTCGTCCTGTACCATTAGCAAGAAAAACAGCCCCAAATAGTAATGTTTCCACATCTCTCCTTAACTGTGGGGATGGTGTTCTTTGGGTCATGCTCAGCATTTCTTTTCTTCCAAACATGGCAGGTTGAGTTGATGCAAAAGAGCTTCAATTTGGTTTTTCTCCCAAGCCTTCTCTAAATCAGTTTATAACTTTTAAGGAATGCATTTTTTTCTGGATTTTTGGTTGATATTCTTGTCTTTCTCCATTAAAATGAAACTAGCGTAACAATTACACACTGTTCATTCCTTTGTAATCGAGCAAAGTTACAAATTCAGCAGGGGATTAAATAATAATTTCCCTCAGTGTATAGCACAATAATTACACTAATATAATGTAGTAATTTAGAGTACACTTGGCTCTAAATTTCACAACTTATCATCCATAGCTCAGGTGGAGACAACGTTTAACAAAGAAAAGTGGCAGAGACCATGTTTATTTCAATAACAATGTCTAAAGCAAAGCTGAATGGTGATAAAGTATCTATTCTGTAACTACTAGATTCTAATATCTGGTTGCTATGCTAATAAGTCAATTCTGACCCCTGGCCATGCGCAATCTGCCCCGCTCTGCTAGCTAAATAAACCAATATTAAAACAAAGTAAACAAAGAAATAATGGACATTTAGCTCTTTAGCATTGTATTTGATGACTATCTGCTCCACTTACCACTGCCTTGTTTTTTTCTTTTCTTTCTCCTTTTTCTTCTTTCTGTTTTCCACTCTTAGAAGTATAAAATCATATCATTGATCGTAATAGCTCTTCTTCATTTTCCTTGTGATTACATTTGTTCAAACAGAATCGTGCATGCCACTTGCAACAGGAGTGGAGTTAGGGGGGTCCTTTTAGAGAGGTCAGGTTTCTCCTATACTGCCATTCCCAACTTTGCACATTGCTATCGTTGTAGTTAACTGTCTGTCAGCCCTGAGGGGCCCCCCACCGGTCTGGGGCCTGCCTTACCTAGCAGTTGCCTGTCTTGCCTAGTTGCAAGCAGCATCTCTTAAAGTATCAGCAGTAACCATTAGCAGCTGACAGGCAGCTTTGCAGATCTATATTACAAGAATTTGCACCAGAAACATAAATCACATAGCACTACTTGCTCCAGCTACCTTTATGTAAAATACATTTTCATTTTTTTTACCCTAATTTGAAATAAAAGATAAATATTTAGTATGTTAATCAACTGAAGCAGTGGATGAAGAAGATTTCTTCCAAATTTAGAAACTAGGAAATTTAAAATGATTCTTGAAAGTCAAAGAAATTCTAGATTAACAGGGGGTTACCAGAGATAACGACAGAGGGTTACAACACCCACAGTGTCTGGACCTGCTAAGTTTTTCCATCCATTTTCTTCAACATTTTTATGCCCCTTATCACCCCCTTAAACTGCTCTCCACAGATCTCCTTTAAAAACATCCTTGGTGCTGTTTGTGCTCCTGTTTTCTCACCCTTGGCCCTTTACCCCTGCACTCCACCTGCACTTGCATGGTACCCCATTTGGTCATAAACCGCCTTCCTCTCTTTACACCATTAACTCCCCCCTGGTTTTAAGTCCCCTCTCTGGAAAGTATAAAGGCAGGTGAATTTAAAGGGTATGAAATGTCACACTGAACTTTTATAATAAATCATCTATTCTTTCATCTAATCATTTCACCCGTGCCATTGATAGCTCCCAGTACATAAAAGACAGCTCTTAATTATCCATATGCATTACAGGATTCTGCACTGTTGAACTTTTTTACCCTAGTAAACCTGTTTTGTTTTGTTTTTTTGTTTTTTTTATTTAATATGCTGTCTGTATTATATTATGTGTTTTCTAACATTACCTTTAAAGATGTTTCTTCATCTGTGCCTAGAACCCTTACCCCACTACCTGTGCAGAAATACAAAGATACAGTCGAGGCCATGAGAGAGCAGTTGACCAGCTACTGTATCCAGGCTTGTTATACATGCATTCTTCAGGATGCAGAGAGCCACCACTGGGCTGACCCTAAACCTTTCTATGAGGTAAAATCGCTATATGATTAAAAACAAACAACTAAACAAAACAAATGTGTTGTGACACACTTCTGTGAGTTTTATTTAAGTGTAAAACAGCTCTAGTGTTGTTGTGTGTTGATTTGATTTCTTTTATTGCAAAAATTTCAATGCCAGTGTCTTAGGAGGCTTGTTGGATAGATTTTGAGGAACTCTAGGAATTACACCCTAGAGCTTTCTTGTTTCTTCTTTTCATTCCCACAATACACCTTTACCTCCCACTCTCCCACTTCTAACTCAGTCTTCTACTCTGAGCTCCCTGAGAACATCTGTGGCTTCCATGCTGCCCTGGGGGCTCCAGGGATTCAGTTGTCTGAAGTCTGCAGTCTACACTGGGACTGTCTGGAAACAGCAGAGGGCCCCTGGAACTCCCCTACCTTTATGCCCTTAAACAAATCTAAACCTCCCTTCTCTCTTTTTGCTTTTGACTTTTTTTCCCTTTGTTCCTCCCTCCCTCCCTGGGTCACTGGTGTCAGACAGGCCTGCTGTGTGCAGGTGTGTGCTTTTGTTCAGCCATCACTTTGTGCATCCGTACCAGTAAATGTATGTGTAGGTGTACAGCAGCATCTCAGGATGTAAGTGTCATTTGGTATGTCTATGTATGTACCTATATTTTTGATGTTTTATATTTTTGATTTGGATCCAGCTCCTGTCTGTGTAACCTTGAGTGAGTCTATAGGCAGAAGATGGCAACTCCGTTCAGGACATAAAGCTTGGACTTATTTCCTGTTTGTGACCAATACATACAGGGAAAAGAAGGAAGAAGAAGGGAAGTAAACAAGAGATTGGGTGAAGTGGGAGAAAATGGATTGAAGAGTTTGGTAGTGTTAATGTGTATGCGTTGTGCAAAATGACCTTATAATAGGATAAATTTGAAGATTTAGGACGTGTATAGCAAAGTTAAAATGGTTAATGAAAACTAAACCAAAAATTTAGAAAAAAATAAAAACTAATTGGAATTATTTAATAAACCTCGAAAACCAATTAAAATAAGATAAAAATGTAGAGAAGCTTCAAGTATTTGTAAGTTTGGTTAAAAAAAAATACATACATTTTTATTACATCTATTAAGACTCTGGATGTCTACAACACCGTGAGCCAGCTGCTTTCAAAAAGTTATCTGTTTTTATTGAAGTTTTTTTTTCTTTCACAAATCTTGCCTTTGATATCTCTCTGGCCTCTATACAATAAAAAAGATAAAAAATAATTAAAAACACTAAAGCGAAAAATTGAAAATAATTAAAACTAAACTGAAACTAAACTGATTTTTTTAAGTCAAAATGAGACAAAAAGCAAAACTAGTTAGAAATGACATACAACTATAGTAACTCTGGTGTACAGGTGAAGGAAAGAATGCATCCTCCTATATATTTTACAAGAGAGCTGCAAGATGCCAGGATAGTAATTCTTTTTAATCTGTCCCATTTTTCCCCCTCTTCTCACTTTCTTGTGAAACATTCTTGATTTTTGCTCTTCCTTCTTTCACTCTTTTTATGTGTGAGAGTGGATGTGGAAGTGTGTGCTGGTTGTGATGTGTTTGCCAGTCCAGGACTTTAAAGCAGTCTAAAATCCCAGTGGGAAAAGAAACCCAGGTGCAGAGTGCAGGTGGCATGGCCACTGAGACATCCTGGTGTTGACAGACCTGCCTGCGTCTCTCCCTCTCTTTCTTCTCCTTCAGGGTTTCTCTCTCACTCTCTCTTTTTTCCCTTTTTTAACTCCTCTCTCTGTTTTTACTTCACTGTCAGTTTCCATATGATAACATGTCTTCATCTACAATCCCCCCTCCCTCAAATCTACCACTTTCTTCCACAGGGCGAGAGGTGTTCCTTCTCAGTGCAGATGTGGTTCTACTTCCTGTGCGGGCTTCGCAGCGACCTGTGGGCGGTCCTTCCAGCGGAGCTGGCCAGGGATGTCCTTGGCCAGGTTCTAACAGACACTTTACAACTGCTAGTGCGAAGATATGCCAGAGCGCGGGCTTCATATAAGAGGCACCTGCAAATCAGGTATTTTATCATGCATATTACTGATAATATATACATATAATTATAACAATGGACTCTGCTTGGTGTATTACTGTTTTAAAGACCTACACTCCATTTTGTTTTGTTTTTTAACATTTAAATAAATATGTCGCAATCGTTTTCATTTGTCTAATTGTGGATGGACTAACTGCTGAGAAATGCTGTGATGGAAGTTAGTCAAAGTTGATAAACAACTGACTTTTAATAAGTTGAGCACGTCAAAAAAATGCAAGACGCTTATACAGTCGGAATTTTGTGCATGTCTATCCTTTAATGCAAATGTAAAAGGCAGAATCTGAGTTTGAGGAGTGGAGGCACCACCCACACATTCTAGCCCCATGCAGCACACACAGACTTTTTCCATCACGGGAACTTTTATCCAAAGGCTAGGAGCTATCGGAGGAACTCAGTTTGCTTCCACTCCAGAGTCTCTGCTCTGGGAGTCTGAAACTTTGACAGTAAGGCTTTTCTTTGGCCATCATTTCAAGAAACCTTTAGTATTTGTTTGTTCAATACATCAGTTGGAGTTACAGGATAAACCATGCTTCAAAAATGCCACATAAAGTGAACTCTGTATTAACAAAGATTGAGTGCAATATACATGAGATGTCAACGGGAAACCTGGTTTATGATTCTGGGAGATTTGTGTGTTTCTGGAAGGACGGTTATAAAGTGTGAGCATAGGCTAAACAGATGCCTTTCCAAAGCTTTTCCAGGTCTCCCTCTTGCTATAGTGTTCACATGGGTACTCCTATGCTCCATCATCTCTATTTTATCAGTCCTTTCCCTTTTGTTGTGAGAATTTAGATCAAAGGGAAGCAAAAAAGAGGTGATGATAGATGATGAGCAGCATTCCATAACCATTTAAGAAAGCAGATTTACTGGCATATAAGTAAAAGCAGTGGGTTGATGTAACATAGCACTAAGTTTTAGGGTGATCGCAAATCTTGCGAAATCCAAAGCCGGGACGCTTCAGATCTCAACGGTAAAATCAGAAGAAGTTCCTATTATCTAGCTGGCTGTGAAATGAGACTCGCAGTAGATAATCTTTAGGTGTTCTCAGCTTTTCAATCACATCCATTTTGTTTTTCTCTTTAAATTCACTCTTTCTGTTTCCCTCGTCCTGGAGATGTGACATTACAGCAATGTTGCTGTATGTGGAGCACCTTATGTGGAGTCTGTGTGAAGGTCCTGAGGCCTTGGTGTGCTACAAGCCTTCTTCAGTGATTACCATAATAGCAGGTGGTTCAGACTGGCCATACCAAATCCACAACCTGTGTGACCAGCTCCTGACAGTCCTCGTCATTGTCACAGCACCTCTATCTTTGCTACATAGGTTGGTACAGTATGGTCATTTTTGTTATTTAATTTAAAATTTGGTAAGATGATAAAAAGATACTGCAATGTTTTCATACTTTCCATCTTACACTGTTTGAACAGAGTGAGTCAGATGGCTGTCACCACTGATTCTGGAAACATTTGTGTGGTGTGGTGTTTATTTTATTTTTTTTGTAAATGTAAACATGCTGCCATATGCAACAGGACATTTATGATAGATGCTGCGAAGGAGACCTCACCAGACCCACCGACCATTCCTGTCATACGCTGGCTAAATGCTATTAACCCCGAGGTCTTCACAGAGCAAGCTATAAGGTATACAAAATAGACCCATCTAACCATCTATCACCCATCATACAGCAGGCACACGGACAATATACATGTTCACTCTCAAATGCACATACACACTCTGGTATGCCAAGCAATCACAATCCCTTCCATCCTCCTCGTGTGTAGAGAAACATATGTGATTGTGTTTGGAGTTACAGCTGCATACTGTATGTGTGGATATATAACGTGCCACTCAAGTGTCAAGCTGCAGTTGTTGTGGTAATATAACACAGATGCAAGGTAAGAAAGAAAAACCAAATGAATGAACTACCGTTGACGCTGACAGTGAGTTTGTTGATGCTCATGGTTGCTAAGAGCTTTACACATGATGCATTGATAGCATACACACCTGAATGTGCACAATTATATACATGTGTGTACATTTGTGTCCGGTTACTGTTGTGACCTCCACTGTGCAGTCAATCATGCTTTCCCCTCACCCTTGTCTCCACCTTACTCCCCTCTCATCTGCTTCACAGCCAGAGGTGATGTCATTGTGCGCTGATGGAGCACAAATCAAACTAACCCCTGCTCCCCTGCTCCTAAGTATCAGAGAACTGAAATTAGTTTATTTTTATGACCTCTTTATTTCTTTGCTCCCACCTCCTGCCTTCATTCGAAGGCGCCAGCAGCCTGCCAGTGGCTCGTGGCCAGAACCACAGGTCCTCAACCTTTCTGGCCAAATCTCTCCCCAGTCCATTAAAATAAAGCCCATTGTTATGGTTATTCAATAAAGCAATGATAAAATCACAAAAGATCTCAATAAATCATCCAGCTGTACAGGCTAAAAAATATTTTCTGTATGTGCACATTTATACCCTGCGCTATTTATCTTGCCTGTGTGTGTGTGTGTGTGTGTGTGTGTGTGTGTGTGTGTGTGTGTGTGTGTGTATACATCTATATCTGTGTGTCTTGGTTTAGTAAGATGACCCGGTGCTGTAGCTGGATAGATTCATCAGAGCAGTTAAAAGAGGATTTCTCCTGGATTTGCGGTCTCAGTGACATCATAAATTGTGCTGTCAGACCGAGGCATAGTTTTCCTCAGTCAAGCAGCAGGGTGCACCCTGCTCTAGCCGTTTGGCTCAAATAGAATGGTTAATTTCTGGGCAGACACCCCCTGTGCTGCCTCCCGCCTCCTTGCTCTTCAGACAAACTCTGTCCATTCCTTCCATTAGATTTTATTGAGATGTATAAAGTAACATGGAGGCACACACATGTCAGCATGCTCCCACACTCGCACACATACATAACGACAAGCATAGGCTCTGAAGAGTGCACACGCACACACGCATTCACACACACCAAGGATACGGCTCATTACCCACAGCTGGCTGCAGCCTCTTGGTTATACAAAAGATGAAGGGGTGGGTACTGCTGTATATTCATGTATTTGGCTGTCTCCCAAATGTTAATTTGCTTTTAGCTGGCCAAGATTAGAGCTAATTCCTTCCCGGTGCACACTATAAGTAAGCGAGAATGAAGGCATTTGGAGACTTGGCTTGTATAAGGAGTGAGTGACACTGAAGGAAGTTACCAGTGTTACCAAATATTCCCTCCAAAGCGTCATCAAAGACTTCTTTATCTTTCACTTGTGAAGCTTTTTCCTTCTTTGTTGTCTCTCACTAAGCAGACTTCTACCTCACCTGACACTGCAGAACTGTCAACTTTGTTTTCCTTCCTTCTCTCCTCCATCTCTCCCAGAGATGGCCTTATGGGCCAGGCATCCTTGGCATGTCAACTGAGGCTACTGACATCTGACCCCGGATGCAATCCCAAGTTGCTCCTTCAAATGCTGCTTTACAGAGACTGTCACCTGCCCAGAATACTCCTGGAAAATTCTTGTAAGTCTGTCGTTTTTGCATGCATACATGGATTGTTACATGTTACTGGATAAGGGCTATAGTGTGTGTGTGTGTGTGTTGTGGACATACCTGGCTGTCTGTCTTTTCGGGGACAATTAAAGCCACGTTCTTTCATTCTTTAAAATTACATTTTTTTAATAACTCTCTGATCCCAAAGAGAACATGACAGGGAAGTGTTTACCTCTGTTTTAATTGCAGTGCTCTAATATCTTAAGTAAGTTTTACAGACCTTGGGTAAGCTCTATCCATTTTATGAAGTTATAATCAGCATCTTTGCCTTCATCATCATTTTCACCTTGGTCATCATCATCACTAAATCAATAGAGTGCAGTAATAAACACTCAACAGGCACAGGCGAAACACACGGCCTGACCTTTAAAGATTTTCCCTTCCTTCCTTTCTCCACAGTCTTCTCAACAGTCTAACCTTTAAAGACTGTTGTGCACTCGCACATTAATTCACATTATAGCGACCTCATTAATAACAACTCTCACTGTCTTGTTCTCTTGCTCGGTCTGAGTCTGACTCAGAGGCTCCGCAATGCTTCTTTCTGCATGCTGCCGTAAATCAACGCTAGGAGCGCTGACTCTCATGTGTTATCACGGTGACGTGGTAATTAACCAGGAAGCAGACAGACACAAGGAACAGCCTGACTGAATGTCTACACTACTGTGTTGCCTCTGCACTTCCACATACATGTACATATTAGCGTGTGTTTTGAAGCACTGTTGATGAAAAAATTCTAGTGTGACTAATAGATGGTTTGGTGAATCCACGCTGTTTCAGTTAGACTTTATTATAGCTAATTCAAGGCTCTTTTTTTGTTGATGGTTCATTTTCTAACTCTTTGTACCTGCCTTATCAAAGCACACTAACTTATGAGAAAACTGGCCAGCCAACTAACAGACCTTCGCACTGTGTAATAATTTGAAAACATACCTTCTCTACATCTACAGTATCACTTTTCACATTTGTACAGCTTACCCTAAATTAGATGTGTACAGATGCACACACACACGCTCACAAACACACACACACACACACATGGCCTTTTTATTATCTTCAGCGTGTCTGCTTCCAATTACAGAGGTCTACAGAGAGGGCCCTTGTGACTGGTTGACTGGCTGTCCGGAAGATAAACAGGTGTATGCATTGGCTTCGTATCAAGGTTGGATAAGCTTAGAGACAGAGAGGAAGGGGGGAAAAAGCATTTGAGAAATCAGCATAGAAACAAAAACACATTGGAATTATTGTGTGCTGCAGGAGTAGTGGAAACTCCACAGAGATGTGCCAGCACACTGACATGTTTTTCTGAAGTCATCTGCTGCTCCATAATGGGATCATTATTATAAGGCACCTAGTTAACCTGCCATGTTATCCAGCACCCCAAGTGGAAATTAATGTTAGTCACCCCTGTTTCCTGGACCACTGCAGCCACAGCAGTGAGATCCAGAACACTCTCTCCTCAAGGACCAATTACTAGACAGGCAGTGAATAAGATGATGGTGTAATCCACACAATGCCACCTAATGGACTGATTGGAGGTCAGGCTGTTTGACCACTTTGGAGTCTACGTGTTAGATTTGTTATTGTGAATGAAAATAGCCATGAGGGATGCAAAGGGAGTCTTGGCTAGAGGGACAGAAGAAATCAGCTTCCATGAACAGTTTGAGCACTTCCTACCTGCATGTTATTAAGGTGGCTAATGTTACTGTCACTGGGATGCTGCAGCTAATTTAGCCCTGTCATTTTAAAATAGTTCAGCATTAGTCAGAAGGAAGCCATGCTGCCCTTCATCACAGCTCCCCCTCATTGACTGCTGCGTTACATACTCTCTCCTATTCAAATGGCTGTCATCTCCCACACAGCTGACTGACAGACTGCTGGATGTCTGCCACCTCTGGAGCAATGGGCTTTTCCTCAGCAACCCCTGTCAACTTAACACACACACACACTTACGTGTAAGCACATAGAACACATATATAGACATCCATATGGGTTACACACACACACACCTCGATCCTCAGCCCTATTCTCAGACAGCAACCCCCACAAGGACACCCTGTCAAAACCCCTTCCTTTTCACTTCCTGTCTCCGTGTACTGTGGATACCACAGCCAGGGGCTTTGAAATCTGTTTCTTTTTCTGTTTTTTTTATTGTCTCTTTTCCTCCATCTAACACAGATGTGGATTTTTCTTCCCCTTCTACTCCACAGTGCCTTTTGTTCACCCGTTCTGTTAACATGTGTCAGGTTGGGAAGCCTTGACATTTTCCAATGTGCTTTTGTTCACGGAAATCAAAATGCTGCTTCACAGAATTGGGTTTTGTATCTTTCTAAACCTACATCCATAAGAGTGATATTTTCTGGACTATAGTTTGTAAAAAAAAAACAAAAAAAAACCGCTGTACACTCGCCTACACACCCTTGGATGTATGTGTGGGCACGAGTGTTAATCTTTTTGTGCATCCAGTTTTTTGTGCCAAGTGGTCCAGAATATCAAGATTTCATTAATCTGCACATTAATTTGTACTGTTCACAGATGTGTGTCACCAAAATGACGCTTAATTTTTCAGATTTTTGCCAGGAGAACAGCTCAGAAATGTCTACAGAGAGCTGCAAGGCGGGAGATGATTTCATGATGTCATTGTTCAACCTTTTCTCTTGCCTGAATAATGTTCCTAAGGCCTTGACTCAGGCCCTTCAACCATACCTGGAACGTGCACACATATGGGAACATCTCTACACTCTGGCAGGTAAAGTAACAACCTTGCTGCTGTGTCCTAATATTTAGCAATTGCTGCCACAATTTGGCATTGCACTGATTTCGGAATGAGCAGTTGTACAATCTCTAGTTTGTGTGCTCTAGTACTGTAACCCTGGATTCCTTTTACTTTGGAAATCAGGTGTCAGAGCTGGGAGTGACTTCATTCCAGAGTTGTGTTCTAGTAGTAGCAGTTGGAAAAGAACAAAAACGGCTGCAGATGTTCATATGTAGAACCTGGTCAGTGCTCTATGTACGGCCTATTTAGTCAGTCACAAATACACAAAAGTGGTAGTACAGAGTACATGCTTTACAGTTTTACAACTTTAGATGCACTACTGTTTTAAAGTTGGGGTTTGTAGGGCTTCTCTGACTTTCTGAGTGGGAAATCTGATTTGAGGGGGTGCTACAGTTGAAAATTTCAACTAGGAACTCCTAGGATTTTCTACTTCCTACTTCAGAAGTGTGTCAAACACACTGTGCCTAAAGTATGTGTTAAAATACAGCACTTTAAATCAGGTTAGTTTTAAAATGAACAGTTCGTGATAAACTGGAGAACATGACAAATAATCATTACATGAATTTCCGAGTAGTGAATTGAAGTAAATAAATTAAAATTGCATATATTTCATATTGTGTTGGCTGCCCTCCTCCTGGTCTCTTCTGGTGTCTGGCAGTGGCTCTTTTGGGTCCTGTTTGTTGTAGGGTACTGACACTGGATCACGGTTTGTTCCAGCAGGTCCTCCAGATGTTCAATCGTTTTGGGATCTGGAGAGTTTAAAGGCCGAATGAACACCTTGGGCTGTTATTGTTCCTTACGCCTCCGTAAACAGTTTGTGCCGTTTGGCAGGGTGCCTTTGTCCTGCTGCCGTGGGGTTGTGTGCTTGGCCTGGAGCAACATTTTAGGCAGGTGCTACAGGTCAAAGTGAGAGCTACAAAACCTGATGTCTCTCAGAATATTGCATTGTAATGCGATTCAATGTTATTCAGTGCACCTTGCCAGATTTTATGTTGAGTCTAATTGGTGAATTTTTAAATACTATGGTAAATCTTCCCTCAAAGAATATCTCAATTTTATTTTCTCTAAAGGCCAGTGTTGACACTGCATGAACATGAGCTAAAGCATAAGTATACTTTTACACAGACTATAGTTATTCCCCAACTCTCTCTGCCTCTTTCTAGTGCAAGTTTTAATACAGAGCTTAATCTGAGCTCCTGTGGAGTGTGAAGCTCTTTTTAGTGGTGATTCTTATATCCTGGGTAAGTGGTAATTATTGTAGCATAAATTAGGGTGATTGGAGAAGAGTATTTAGATGGATACTGAGCAAGGGAGGGGTCGACAGAGTGAATGAAGGGGAAGAGAGCTAGAGTGTGCCGCAGAAAAATTCTCAATGTCATCCAATCAACATTTATCCTCACAGGGTAATTAGTTTAATTATTGGACCGTTCCAAATCTTTGTATTATAATTTTGGTTACAGGATACCCCCAGTGCCCCCATTTCTATTTAAACTGTAGTCTGAGTTAACTCATAGATTACATTGAGAGCTTCACTATTTCTCCGCTTTCATTGACGTTTCATCACACTGTACCAGGTTGCTTGAGATCAATACACAAGTCAATACAGTTGCAGGTGGTATAGAGTCTGAGAATCAAGTGACTTTGAAAAATAGGTCTAGGTCTCACCTGCAACAGAGCGCTTGTCCTTCGAAAAGCTATATCATTTTCTGTTCCGTTCTCCTCTTTTTCTGCGGCTAAGGTTACTTATTTTGTTAGGCGTCCTTTGAGATTTCAGTGCACTTTTAATTTTTAATGCCGCTTCAGTACTGTTTCTCCCAATTGTAGCCTTTGGTTTTACAGCCGGGGCTGTAGGAAGTTTATGAGTGCCATACAACTTCATACTGTAGTTAGTCTGCCAACAATATGAGCGAGATATAAAAGGGCAAACCGATGACAAACGGTAAACCTGGAGAACGTAGCAAGATTCGTGCTCTCAGGCCACCTGGATTTGATCGAGAGCATCTGATTTTAGTTTGAACTTGAGTACTCACATTTGGTGCAGATATTTTAAGAGAATACCTTAACACTATATGGATTCATATAAATGATTTATGGCTCTGTTTTTTGTCATTCTTTGAAAAGTAGAGTTATTTCTTGACTTTTGATTTGTTGCTTTAAAAATAAATCCCAAAGCACAATAACTATAACATGAAATGTCAACTGATCTAATGTGTAAGCATCCACTCTCCATTTTTATATCAGTATACAGAAACATGTTCATATTCCTAGTGCAGGGATAATTAGAACAGTATAAGGAGGTTTTCTCTAAAGAAACTTATCATTCGTATCATTTTGAAAGGTTTTGACAACATATCCGCCTTTTTCTGACATAGCTAAAAAATTCAGATTAAACACAAAGTATTGATTTCAAATTTAACATTTTTAGTGCAAAGTATGTGAATTCAGTAACCTAACAAACCTAACAGTTTGTTGCTGTAACACTAACCTTGTACTTTATCTTATGCAGTTTACCAATATTTTTTTCCCCAAATCTTAAAACTAAATAATAATTACGGTCTGGAGTCATTCATCTGATCTTCTTTAGCTGACCCTTGTTTTAAAAAATCTGCTTCCTTTGTTTATTATTGTCAGACACCACACGGACAGTACCTATAGTTGTCAGCTGTGTCCGGGACATAGTCACAAAATCCACCAATAGCCTTCTGCAACACCTCGTCTCCATGGTTTTGGGTTGGCAGGCCACAGAGGAGCCTGGTGCAGCCTTGTTCAAGCGTACTGTGCCAGAGAATGTCCTGGCTAAGATACCCAAGGACTGGAACTACACACCATTGGATGTAAAGGGAAAGGACACTGTTGCTAAAAGTATGCACAGACTGAGTTTTGCACATTCAAGATAAAATTCAAGGAATTTTACTAACATTTCTTTCTTCTTCTAGCTATCATATCCTTAGCAATTCAAGCATTGTCCTTCATTTTCACCAACCTGCCAATGGCTGTAGCATCCTTGCCACTCCCGATCCGCTTTCTATTCCAAGTGGCAGAGAAGCACCTTTCCCAGCATGCCCGGCAGCTGCGGTTAGTGGGCCTGTTGATCTGGGCCTTGCTGGGCTGCCTGATCCAGGGCCTAGAAGACCCAGACACACTAGAACAGATCAGTGGTCTGGCTCTGGACCGCTCAGCAAAAGACCGCCTGTCCCTGCTGGCAGAGTGCGTACAGGCGGCCATAGGCATTCAGCAAAAGGTAATGGCTGAAATTGATGTGGTAGCCACAACAGGTAGAGGGTTTAGTTAGAAATTACAAATAGTAGTGGGTTGTACCAGACCTATCATTTCTGTATATGATGACTGGCTTAATGTCTGTCATATTTTTATTCATTTGCCTTGTTAGGGTGTTCCCAAACCTTCAGTGCACAAAGTTATACAGGCCTTGGAGGAAAAACGACCAAAGTGGACACAACTGCAGCTGCAGAAGGCCCGCAAACTCTGCTCAGACAGGTAGGAGGATATGGAAAGAGGTCAACATTAGAATGGTGCCAACAGTAGCTTAAGTGCTATTTTTTTCTTAGTCCATCTTCACTCTCATTTAGTATAGGCTACTGATGTCAGCCTCAAAATCTTTTCATAAAATTTATTTCCCCGAATGTAATTTTGTGATTGTCAAAAATAAGGGCTGACTGTCTGCTGAAGGAGGAGGTTCAAATGCATCAAACTGACTGATGGTATGTTTCGCTACTTGCCATAAAAATTACCTAGAAAAACACTAAACAAATGCAACTTAGACATGCATTTCTAATTGAGCATTCAAATTTTGATGTATCATGTAACCAAGATAATTTTTTACTGACAATCTGTATGAGTAAAATCAATGATTCTCAGATTTGTTTGTTGTGCTAAATGATGCACATGCTTGACTGAATGAACTGCAGTGTGGACTGATGGGAAAACAGCTTTCGTTTTTGGCTGATCTGTGACCTTTGGCGTTGCATTTTGCTGCTTGTTCCCAGAAATGTTGTCTTCTGGTCGCTCACTTAATCATAGCAAACTCCGGACACATTCATCCTCATATAAAGTTGATTCAGTAGCGTAACCATTAAAAAAAAAAATGAAATAAATAAGGACACTGAATAGATTATGACCAGTTCTAGGAAATGCTGTCTGTTACAGTGACAGGAAGAGGGGGTAAGTGCAGAGAAAAAAAGGCAAGAGACGAGGCGGCTGAGGGGTGGTGAGGGGGTGGAAAAGTGAAAGAAGAGTGATTATGTATCACCTGTCGGAGGCATTCAGTGGGATCATTACTATTCATTAAACTAACCTTCACAGGGAAGTGACGCCTGGCTTGTAAACAATCAGAATACAGTGTCAGAGAGAGAGCGAGGAAGAGAGAGAGGAAGGTTGTAATAACTCCAAAAACAACTGGCACTTCTCTTACTGGCATCCCGTGCGCACACACATTCAGAGTAAACGCCTTCACAAAAAACATTTGGCCCTACACGATCCCTCTTCAGTTCCTTCATCTTTACCTTCCTCTTTTCCTTTCCTAACTGTAAACCACTACCACCACCCCCTCCCCAACAGCACCCACCTTGTCTTTGCAAAGTAATTTGTAGAGGGGAAGATTATTGTTCTCCATCATGGTGACCCTGGCTGGGCTGACGGGATGCATACACAGATGAAGATGAATGCAGTTATTCCTTGGCGGAGGTCTGCCTCTTTCAGGGCACATTGGCCCTAATGACATGATTGATAGGCTGTCCCAAATCCAGAGGGGCCCTCATTAATCACCCTGCTGACTGAATCCAATCATCTGCTTCACCTGCACAGTGATGGACAGGAAAGGATACAGCGCAGGTGCTGACACGGATGCACAGCCACCATCACCGACAACACCACCGCCAGGGCGCCGGGCAAAAGAATGAGGCGATGTATATGGACGAGACGGGACTCCTCTTCTTTTGCAACTCTCAATGTCAAACAGCCAATGGCTGGCTGACAGGCGACACCGTTTCTGCCACTTTATAATTACAAACGTGAGGAGAGAGAGAACAATGACAGGGAGTGTATGTGAAAGAGAAGATTTGATGGACGGTAGTGTGATACCCATCCATACAGGAAGGGCAGGAAAACGGTGCCGGCATTCACCTGGGTTGGGAAAATACAAGCCTACGGACCTTGACATACAAGCTTCATACACACACGCACTCCAGTCCAGTGCAACGGCATCCTTTGGTTAAAATGTCTCATGTATCTCATGAATTATAATGAAAATAGTGAAAATGATTTTGGTATTTCTTGGTCATTTTCACCACACAAGATTTGACTGGTCTGATTGGTTTTCAGATACTAGAGCAAAATGTAATTTTTTTTCTTTGCCAAGACTTACATTTTGAAGTTCTTTTGCCTTGTGAAGTAACTGAATAAAAAAACAAACTTTAATTTTAATACAGTTAATTTTCCAGTCGTAGCAATTTCTAAATTGTAGCCCAAATTCCTCTCCAAACTCGAAGATACTTCCTTAGCCAGAGGTGGTATTCAAATATAAGCCGACACCCTGCCTCCTTCTGCTCCTCTCATCTTCTATGTTCTTCACTCTGGGTTTTTTCTTTGTGTTGTCTTTACTAAGTTCTCCTCTTCCCATCTCTGTTTCACTCACAGTGTATTTGAACAAGGAAGCGAGAGAGGAGTTGCTGCAGCTGAACTGACTGAGCAGAAAATAGGCCTGATGCTGCTGGAGGTCTGCCACAAAGCAGGTGGCAGCAGCTACCTGAGGCAGATCTATCACATCATCCAAGGCAATGAGGTAGGGAAGTACTTGCTCTCCCCAGCAATTAGGTGGCTGCTGGCCTGAGGCCGCAGGCTGTTCAGGAGGGGGAGACAGAGGGAAGAGGGCTGCTGCTTGTGTGCAGTCTGCTTGTTCTGATCGTCTTTTGTTCAAGTGACCTCAAGGGTGCAAACCTACAGTGATTTCCAGTGTAATCACCTCACATAGAGCAGAGGAAGCCTCGTGGAGTTACTAGACTCTGTGGAAAGCTTTTTGGAAGAGATTTCAATGAGGAAGAACATCCCTTTAAAACTCAAGTGGAAGTTATTTTATGAAATTTACTTCAAAAACTATTCTTCTAAAAGTCCCCAAATCGATTAGATTTTATTAGCCTATTGTAGCTAAAGTTTTCTGATGTCTAAAAAAGATCTTTGGTGGTTGTTGAAAAGCTAAAAATCATATTAAGTTGTTTTAACTGGTCTAGTAACACTTTTTTGGAATGTTGCCGTTTCCTGTCCAATGAAAATCCAGTTGAAAAAGCAAAACATTAAAGGTACAGTAAATATTTTTTTGAGATGACTTAATAGAAAAAGAGAATACTGTACTCATAAATAGTTAGTGTTAGTCCAACAAATTGATGCATTCTCATACACTTACGCCCTGTTGCCATGCCATCTTGAAAACTTGGACGTCCTTCCACCTAATTGTGTTTTATGGATGCTGCTAACTGAAGTTGGGGCTCTATAACGCACAACAGCAGTTGTTGATGTGTAAACATCAACAACTGCTGGTTATAAGTTAACATTATGCCAGCTTGGCTCGAGTGTCCTGAAATGTACATAAACAGTTTGATTGCATTCTCACATTATATGTGAATTTTGTGTCTGATTCCATTCATTTTTAAATGAATACTGGACAGTATTCAAAAGTTTGCAATGGTTATTAACAAGCCTATCACAAGACACAAATGCTATTTTTGTGGGTTTTTTCCATCTTTTTTTTTTTTTCTTTCGGTCTCTGAAGTCGCTTGTGTATTTCTGTAATGAGCACACCATCCCAGAGAGTTCGTAGTGCTGCTGGGAAGACTGTTAACCCTATCCATTCTTCTGAATGCAAACATGTTAGTTTTTCTAGCATGAAACAAGGACATGACATACTACAACTAAATCTTAAAAACTTTATTCTTCATGTTAAATGAAAAGGATATTAATTTCTTTAGTTTTAATTTATTTTTAATGCAACACTTCTTTGACATTTAGTCTTAAGACTAATATAATTAATATAACTACCTAAATGAGCCTGGTTATTTATTTTTTACATTTAGATAATTTAGATAAATTGCATTACCAGATCTCTTTACCTTTCTCTGTCTAGTTGGAGTTCATAATCTGTATCTAATAGGATCCAGCATGGACATGTAGAGTATGTGTTTTTGATGTTTTTGAAGTGTTAACACATATAACTCTGCTCGGCAATTTGAGAGAATGTGAATGGGAACCGCAAGAATCAAGAGTTATCCTTCTGGCAGCTCCAGCGTCTCTACCCAGCCAAGGTCGAGGCAAGAACATGCAGGTCAGGGACAGACTGGGTTGGTGGTGAGGTGAGGGAGGAGGAGGTCCAGAGGCCATGTCAAGCTGACGGATGGGAATATACCGAATTCACACCAGGATGCCTATGTGTGCATGAACACACACATAGAGTCATAGTGTACAAAGACTCATTGCTATATGCTGGACCTATTGTGAGACACATGCATTAAAACTACAGCAAAGGTTACAGAAACAGCACCAGAAAGTGCACTAGTGTAAAAAAACCTGTTTCTCTTTCGTTCCATCTGTACATATTTTGTTTTGATATATGTTTTTCATTGCTTTATTCATTCACTGAAATATGGCTCAGGGTGGAGCCATACACGTAAGTAGACGCTAAAACTCCACTAGACTCTTTATTTGTTTGGTCTGTTCGATCGACTTTGAGTTTAGTTATTTTACTTATACAAAACCTTTTGGCCTCACTCTAGTTGTCAGACTTTTTCTTTACAGCTTATTTATTATCAGTCTTATCAATCACATTGCATCCGTCTCCTGTGTTTCTCTTCTTCCATCCCACCCTCATAACCTGCTTACAGGAACTGCTGATGTCTAAACTGAGTGGAAGCTCAGACTTGCCAAATGATCCTCCACTTTTTGTGAAGTTTGATCTTGGCCCCGAGAGTCATGTTGGAGGTGCCCGTTTCAATCCTCTCCACCAGTTTGACCACATTGGCAAGAAGAAGCTGGATCAGGTGTGTTAAGCCTTTTAAGGTTAACATTGTATTAACATTGTAGCAAATAAGTGTTTAAAACTTGTTTTAGTTGTGTGAAACATCTTTGATATTCATGTGAACTTTTTCCAGTTTTCAGACTTTGTACTGTGTGGGTGTACTTGTGACATACAGCGTGGTGTCATTATAACTTTCACCGAGGCCGGAAGCTTAATGTTGAAGGTTAGAAGCTCTTTGAGTCTCTAGTGAACTGGATACTGTGGTAGTCTCTGAAGTTGTCAGGTCTTTCTGGGGCTTGGCTTTCCTATTCCCCTTAGGTTGCTGTCTTTTTCCGAGCAGGAGTTAGGCTGGCAGGAAGAAAAGAACGCCGAAGAGGTGAAAAGATGAGAGAAGTTTTTTTTTTTTTTTTCTTTTGTAAAGAAGTGAGTAATGTTAAAGGAGAGTGCAGTCTTAAAGTGCACTTCTTTGGGGCTTTGAACCATGTAGCCTCTTATCCTGAACCTATCCCCAGGAGTGTCACCATGATGTTCATTTAATTGTTAGGTTTTTTGTTCTCCATATCAGGGTTGAGTCTACCTACAGGTAACTCACTGTAAGAGTTGCTCGCTTTCCCCCTCATTTCCCCTCTATTACTATGATATCCCCCACTGTTAGGAGAGATACAATGGTACTTATAACACTTACAGCAGTAAGTATTTTCTCAAGATAGGCTTGTGTGTGTTTCTGCTTTCTTTTTTTAAGGATTAGAATTATAACTTTAATATTTATATTATTAGAGTTGAATACAATTCAGTTTTATTTGTACAGAACCTATTCAGTCAACAGTCACATCAAGGTATTTCATATTGAAAGGGAAAGACCCTACAATATTAGAAACCTCCAGTAATCAGACAATCTGCTATGGGTAACCACTCGGCAACAGTGGGAAAGAAAAACTCCTTTTTAACAGGAAGAGCCCTGCAACAGAGTCGGGATCAGGGAGGACCAGCCATCTGCTAAGATCAGTTGAGGGTGATTAGAAAGAGAAGAAACAAAAAGGGAAACACAGAGTGATAAATACAGAACATAAGCTATGAAAAAGATTTGCATTTGTGACTCTTATATTTGTCCCTTATAGCAGCTTCAGTTCTTGCTGTGGCTTTTCAAGAACATTAGTCCCATTTAATTTCTAAGACTTGGCCTGTTTTCGGCTTATCACAGGAGGCTGCATAGCTTTGCATAGAAACACCCTATTAAGAGAATGATTAAAATGCCTTCTCCGCTTCAGGTGCCTGTGTTGTTTGTCAAATAAAATGGAGGGAGGAGGAAAAAGTTACACCCATCAATCACAGATGAGGAAGAAGCAGAGGGGGGATCGGATGGATGGATGGAACGAGTAGAGTTCTCCTCCTTTTGTCAATAAAACTCAGCCTGGAGTTAAGAGTGACATTTTACAATCAAAGCAATCTGATTTTTATTTGCTTTCCCAATATGGTGATGGTGCCAGGTGTGTGTGTTCCCTGTTCACATCCACACACGCGCGCGTGTGTGTATTTTTAAAAAAGAGTGAGAGTTAGCAATAGAGGGAAAGAAAAGGAGAAGGGAAGGTGGGGGGTTGGCAGAGTGCCATTGAAGATGGAAAGAGGAAAAAAAAGGCATAGCAAGAAGAGTAACGACTCCCTCCAAAAATTGATTTATCTTTCTATAAATGATGGCTACATCCCCCAAATGGATTTATAAATTAATTGCTGTCTTATTGGAATAAAAACCTTCTTGTGCGGACATGATTGATCGCCTGATGTCGGTGGCCTGCGCTGGAGACCCCCCTCCTCTTTTGTTAGTGGGTCCCAGCTGGAGCGGTAATGCACTGATGGTATTAACCCTGATTAATAACTAACAAACGCTATCCTCATACATCAACAGAGTGCTGTGGTCGACTGGGCATGGGACTGGGCAAGGCTGCTCCCAGCCTATCAGGGCATGAGTCGGGTCACCTTCAGAGCTCTGCTGGCCAACAGGTAAAACATTTCTGTTGCAATATATGTATTTTTATGTGTCTTTTTGTGTTTCATTTGTGCAGTCATTTTGTGAATTACTCGCCTTAGTACAGACCTCAGATGGTTTTTATCAGCATATAAAGTTTCATTTTCCAGATTGTGTCTTCTATAATGCGGGCTGTGCTGTGGAAAGAAATCTTTGGAAATTTTTGGTAATTGAGTAATGCCTGCTTATTAGGTACTTTTGAGACCTTGGGGTTGGTACATAAAGATGGATAAAAAAAAACAGGCTGGTTCGGATTTTTGTGTCATCTGATTGAAGTTTTTCGCCCAAGTCCACCACTCCTGTCCCATCCTCTCCTCCCCCTCCCCTCCTGTTTTACTCTGCAACAGGCATAAATATTTATGCAGGTATGTGACACATATTAGATTGCAATACTTCAGGCTGTTCCCTGTTCTCCATTCACAGCTGTCACGCTGCCAGCTATCAGGGAGCTATGGGGCTACTGCACCTTGTCTCCACACCTACGCCCAATCCATTCTAAATCACTGCCATTGTAACACACACACACACCTTTCTAACAAAGGGCAAGCTCTGCATCTGCCAAGGACACGGGCCTAATAAGGGTGAAGTACTCAGCTCTGTGCTACGCTGTGACGAGCTTTGTCGCCTCCATGCCTCTACCCCCTCTTCCCACACCCACATACACATATTCTATTCTTCCGCCCCTTATACGCTGCTTTGTTGCATGCTAAAACAGATACTGTCATTGTTTGACTGAGCCAAATTAGTGTTTCAGCATTCATGAATAGAAACTGAAAGAAGAGGATATGAAGTCCGATAGGAAGAGACATAGAAAAAGAGGGTCTGGACTTGAAGTTTGAGATTGTGAGCGACACGGAGAAAAAGCATATCACTTCTGACAAGGATTCAAAAAGTGTGAAGATGGGAGTGGGAGGGGTTAAAGGTTATATAATTCACCCTAATCTCATAGTATCAAAGTGTCTGAGATTCTGTCATCTGCCTCATTAGCCTGTCTTTGTTGGGCCAGAGGAACAGATTTCATGGAGGATTTGGAGAATGGCTTTGGTTCAGCACAAGTTGCTCGCACAGAGCAGGAAGTTAGTTTCATGGACTGGCGACATGTAAGCTGTCAAAGTTTTTCTCAGATCAATCTGTGACTCAGAAATATCCCTCAAGCTATAGAAGGCCGTTCATGGGATAAGCACACTGATGTCTCATCCACTGATCCATTTGTTAGTGTAGATAAGGAACACTTTCTGCGTAACCACAGGCCGAAGCGCCTTCGGCTGTTTTCACTTCACAACAATTACTCTTTCACTGCTTCCAGTTGCTGAAAAAGCCACAGCATATCTCACCCTCTTGATGATTTTAATAGTAATGTTTCTACCCCGTACAGTATAAAAAGTCCTCTTATTGTGACCTTGTTGTGAATTTCTACCTTCTAACTTTTAGTCTCCTTGAATGACTTTCTCTTCCTGTACACAGTCAATATTTTTTTCTGCTCCCTGGCTGTGTGACTTAGCAGTGTGGCCCATTGGCCTCCTATATATTGTGATAGTGGCAGGACAGTTATTGTGCCTAGGGTTTATATCACATTCTAATGGAGCAAGGCTATGAGTTAAGGGGCGGTAGGCTTTTAAACCAGGGCTGTTAAATCACTGTTCAGATGACTTCATTAGCAGAGCGGGACACATGCTGAGACACTATGTCGGCACACACACGTACACACACATGCGTATACATACACTTTCACCCTGCTACCTTGACGGTGTAACGCTCGGGCCAGACAGGAGGGAGAGTGGATTTATACAGATATGTGTGTCCTTCTTTGTCACCTGTCACTTCAGTTCCCTTGGCATGATAGCTCATCCATCATCTACAGATTGAGCTTTTCAGCAGAAACCAGACTGATTAATACTACTGAAGGACCCCCAGGGTTGACTATATGACCTGGCTTCCTGGCAGACTTGATACATTAATGGGCAGATGGATTACTTATGTAAAAAAAACACTTGTTTTCTGACTAAATGGTGGGTTGGCTTTGTTAAATACGTTGTTACTGTTAAAAACAATGTAAGAAGCAGTGATTAGTGGATGTGTTTGATGGAGTACTGCCTGGCAGGGTCAAATTTTGATTGTTTGTCTGGGAAACTGACCAACCTGTTGGTTCTTGGCCAGCTGTGATAAATGATAGGCCTCAAAAACCTATTAAGGAAGGCTAACTGCTTTGCTAAATAGATATTTTTTTTACTTTACTTGCCTTATTTTCCCCCTTATTATATGGATGGATGGGTGGCTCTGAATTCTACAAAATCAAAAGATCCCTGTTTTAGCTCCAGGAGGAGACACAAATCCCTTGTTGGATGCATCAGGAAGGACATCAGACATAAAAATCAAACATGAGGAGCTACCTGCTGTGGCAACCCTTTGTTAGCAGCTGAAAGTACCTCTATTACATGGATGGACATCTTTATAGACACTGATGTGCAGCTGACTTATGATAGGCTTATACCAGAGAAACAACACATACTCTGTTTAACAGCAGAACTAACTAGTAAAATTCAGCCACCCTAAAGTTTTCAGTGTCTTCCTTTATCTCTAACAGATTTAAAGTTTTTGCATATGAAAAAAACTATCTTCCTTACATGCTCATATATACTTAACATTTCACCTTGAACAAACTGTACTGAATGCATTTATATTAATTTCCATGCATTACGAATTGAAATTTGTCTAGGTTGTCTCATTCCTTGACTTCAAGTTATGAACCGCTCTTTGTTACAGAAGCATTGAGTCAAAGCACTAAGTGCTTCAACTGATGCTGAAGTTTCTCTTCAGCGAATAGATTGCAAATGGATAAGTCAACTGCTTTGTCCTTGGTCGCACTTTCAAATCCCCTTTTCTTTAGTGAACACTTGTAACTCTGTCTGAGCGTACTTTTATACAAAACAATTAAAAAAAAAACACAGCTCAGGCCCTTTGTAGGTTGGAAATAATGCCAGGAGTGCTGACCCTTCTCTTTCTTCTGTGACTCTGATTGTGTCCCAAGGCCTTCGAGTGCTACGGACTTTTATGTCATTTTTCTTTTCCATCCGTGGAAAAATGAAACAAGTCTGAAAAAGTGTCATGTGTTGCAACAGACAAAAGTCACATTTTAGCTGTCATCTGCTAAGGTGACTTTTTGAAACAGTTTCCTTGCACCTATATGTCAGAGAAGGTCCCCTGACCTGGTTGTTAAGGGGTAGCCAAGTATGAGAGATGAAGCCTCATGTGTCACTTGGCACTCTTCCACTCCATCATAAGGATCTAATATCGTCCAAGGACATTCATGCTTAGATCTGCTAGTTCTGCTGCTCCGGGTACACGGTCTTAAAATCAGCGTGGAGCAACAGAAAGATGTCATGCGTTGGCCCGCAGTAAATTAGATATACTGTAGCTGTGCTATATTTAGACCTTATTTTCTGAGTAAGCACTGCTCGGTACGATTTTATTACACACGCATTGACAGTAAAAGGGTACTAGTAGTATTGACCTCTAGATTTGCTGGCTTAATATAGTTAGCTACAGTATAACTACTGAACACTAAACCATTTTCTCTGAATTGTCTCATTGTTTCTGTTACCCCTCTGGTCTATAACAATAGCAGTTTGTGGAAAAATGCCAGTCTGTGGCATTCTCTTGCTTGAGCGGCTCCTTAAATTGCGGCGATAGACGCTTGTGCTTTCAGGAAGTGGGCAATCGCCATCTGTTCCTTGGCGCTGCCATATGGCGGGCCTTTTTCTCAGGGAATAAAATAAAAACAAATATGTCAGAACGTTCGTCTTTCTCCACGGACGCTGATCAACCTGGGGAGAAGCTGGATCTCAGTGTGTCTGGATTAATGGTCTTACTTTACGCTTCAGGGAATGAGTGAGTGTGCGCTCGTCTTTGTGCTTTTGTGTGAGCACGTGTGCATCTTTTTGTGAGGGCATGCACGCACTAATGCACATTTGTGTACCTGGAAGTATTTCTCAAAGCATTTATCTGACTTTAAGGGTGATGGTACCGTACCGTTTTGAGCAGTTGGTTGCCCTAGTCTTGGAAGCATTAAACAACGCAGGAGAAAAGAGCTTCAAGGTTAGCCAGAGTGACATTTCACGGCTGCCGCTGCCAAAGAAACAAGAAGAAATGCTCTCAAGCCATCATCAGACTCTCCATCTTGCGAGGCCACGAATTCAAAAGACATGTCACTTTTGAAAATCAGGAGAGTGTGAGGTGTCATTGAGGAAGGGCTTCTTTCTTCTCTCGTAGATCTCCTTGGGTGTCCTCTCTACTGACTGACAGCTTGGGATGGGAGTTTGTGTTGGTGGAGACAGAATACATCTTTTGTCTGCTTGGTTATACATGGCGTGTTTTGTCTTCGCTACCCCTGGACAGCACTGACACATTGAGGTTTTCATTAGCCGTAAGCAGGTGGTGAAGAAGAGGGACGAGCTTATGCGCATCACTCTGTTCCCATCCCTGCTTGTGTGCATCTGCACTGCACCAGCTTGTATACTGTAAGCATATCACAGAGGGCGTACATGTGTCGGGCCGCGTGTGTTTGAATGTTCAACATTACATTTTTAGCGTGTGTGATACTTGGAGGTTTGCTCCAAAGGCGAATAAATCAGTGATGCCTGGGATAAGGCCGTGGCCCCTCCTCAAACTGCACAGACAGGCTGAGAGGCTCATTAATCAAACGGCCAGTCACAGATGTGATGGCTTCCACACAAACCGCCAGCAGACTGTGAAAGTCACATCCAACAGAGTCAACTGTCAGCCAGGCAGGCAGGCTGCACTTTTCTGCTCTCTCTCTCTCTTTCCCCCTCTGTTGTATTAATCTCTCACTCTCCCTTTACCTCCTCTCACCTCCAGCATGATGCCTCAGTGTGATACATTTGAAATATTTGTCTTGTCCCTCTAAAAACCATCTCGAGGGTCGAGAAAAATCCATGTTCTCAGAGAGTGGTCATGG